TTAAGCATCCGTGGCACCGACAGGGACCCCAGAGCCCAGAGAGGGGCGGCGAGAGGCCCCAGGTCACACAGCGTGGGGGGCCGGGGCCGGGCCGGGCTGGGCGCCGAGGGCTGGGACCCTGGGGCTGATGGGCCGCTCTCTGCAGGTCAGTGACTTCTTGTCGGGCCGCTCCCCGCTGACCCTGGCTCTGAGAGTGGGCGACCACATGATGTTCGTCCAGCTTCAACTTGCGGCCCAGCACGCCCCACTACAGCACCGCCACGTGCTGGCCGCCGCAACTGCTGCCACCCGCGGGGACCCCAGCATGACCACTCCTGTGTCCTCTCCCTGCCGGCCAGTGTCCAGCACTGTCCGTGTCCCCCCAGTGCCCACCAGCCCCGCACCTGCATCCCCCTCACCTGTAACAGCCGGCTCCTTCCGCTCCCACTCAGCCCCCTCCACCTGCCCCGAGGTGAGTCTGGGGCGGGCTGATCGCAGGGGGTGGAGGAGGGACTCTGAGCCCCACTGCATGTTCCAAAGGCCATTGCTGGGTCCTGGGCTGGTAGGTGGTCCCGGACCCTGGGCCCCAAGGCCTTTCCTCGGACCTTAAGCTTACGTCCCCCTATTCCATCAGCAGATGGACTGTTCCCCTGCTGCCAGTGCCCGGGCCAGCCCCACATCCACCCCTGGGGGCAGCCCCGCCTCCCGTTCCCGAAAACCTGGTGCCATTATCGAGAGCTTCGTGAACCACGCCCCAGGGGTCTTCTCAGGGACCTTCTCCGGTAGGTGCCACGCTTCTGTGTGTGTCCCAGGGGTGGGGCATGCACCATCCCCCCCTCGGATCTTCACATCCACTCGCGACCCTCCAGCAGGCTTCGCGTCCCCCGTGTGCGGGTGGGAACCCTTGTGTCATTCTTGCCCCAGGATCCCATCCCTCGGGCATTCACCAACACACTCTGCCCCCCTGTAGGCACGCTGCACCCCAATTGCCAGGACAGCAGTGGGCGGCCTCGGCGGGACATCGGCACCATCCTGCAGATCCTCAATGACCTCCTCAGTGCCACGAGGCACTACCAGGGCATGCCCCCGTCACTGACCCAGCTGCGATGCCACGCCCAGTGTGCACCTGCCTCTCCCGCCTCAGACCTCACCCCGAAAACTACCTCCTGTGAGAAGCTGGTGGCCACGGCCCCAGCCTCCCTGAGCCAGGCCCGCCTGGGCAAGCCCACGGGTGAGTGTCCGAGGCGCCCCGCCCATTCTCGCCCGTCAAGGCCCCTCTGTGTGCGGCTCGGAGCAGCTGGCCCAGTCGGGCTGGGGAGGCACCAGCTGCCGCTCGGCCCGCTCTGGAAGGGCCTGGAGAGAAGGGAGTGTGTGTTGGGGACACAAAGTGTCCTTGTGCCTCCTTGGAGGAGCGGGTTCCTCACATCCTCCTCGGGCACTTGCCCCCGATGGCAGGTGGAGCCTCTGTGAATGGCCCAGTCAGCCTAGGGGGGGCGGCCGGCTTCCCCTCCTACTGGATGGCCCCATGGCCCCCAGCTTTTTACCCGATAAACCCGGAGTCCCGCAGACTGGTGGGTGATGCCGCTCTGTCCAGTGGACCCCCACCCAGGCCACGAAGGGGAAAGCACGGCCACAGCCCGAGTTCCTCTGTCACAGAGCAGCTGGAGGGGCTCACGCTGCAGTTCATGCAAGTGGCGACTGTGTCCTGAGTGCTTGTCTTGGACACTGCCCTGCCCTCGCAGCTGGCCTGCTGGACACTCAGACAGGTTTCAATAAACCCGCAGCTCCCGGGAGTCCTGGGTACTCTTGATCAGCTCCCTCAATGGAGCTAGTGTCCAGGAGGCCCTGAGCTGTGCCCGCTGCGGGGGGCGTTAGCTGGGGGGTCCAGCCTCTCCCAGGGCCGTCACGGTCGTTGCTTCCTTTGCAGGGGACCGGCTGCGGCAGACGGAGAACCGGGCCACCCGCTGCAAGGTGGAGCGCCTGCAGCTGCTGCTCCAGCAGAAGCGGCTCCGCAGAAAGGCCCGGAGGGATGCCCGAGGCCCGTACCACTGGCCGCCCAGCCGCAAGGCCGGCCGCAGCGACAGCAGCCCCGGAGGCAGTGGCGGCAGCCCCAGCGAGGCTGCGGGCCTGGGCCTTGACTTCGAGGAATCCGTCTGGAAGCCAGAAGTTAACCCCGACATCAAGTCAGAGTTCGTGGTGGCCTAGAAACCTTGTCCCTCACCCCTGCCCAGGGTGGCTGAGAGCATCGCCCAGCTCAGGAGGGCAGGCAGTGGGCACTGCAGGAGGCCCCTCCCTCTTCAGCCAGCATCCTGGTTTTTAAAAAATGTTCATTTCTTACCATGGTTTTCCAAACCCTCTGTGGCCTTGGGTTCCTGCCTCCTCGGTTCGGCCTCACATGTCCCCCCTTCCTCTGTACCCCCGCCCTCCCCCTCAGCCACACAGGGTCCTTCCCTGCCCACCTTCCCGAGCTCCAAATATGTAGCAGCCTTTCCAGATGGCTCAGAGCAGAAACGAGGAAGAAGCCCCCCCACCCCTTCCGCCGGCTCTGATGCTCCACCACCCCCACCCTCTTCAGGTTTAAGTCCAAAATGTAGATGCCTCATTTGCACTTTACAGACAGGAGGGGGCCACAGAGGAGAGAACCCCCACTGCCAGTTCTGGCCTCCCCCTCCCTAGCAGGGCCCCGGGGCTCCAAACACCTCACAGGACCCGCAGCTGCACAGACCAGGGGCTGTTCTGTCTCTTCCGCGTCTGTACTACTTTCTCTTCTTAGTTTCTTTTTCCTGTAACAGAAAATCTGTTTCAGGGGAGGCCGGCCAGAGCCTGCCGTGGAGTTCAGGCCTGGGGGCAGTACCCTTTCCTGGCAGAAAAGGGATGGAGAACAGACTTGTCGCCTGCCTTTGCTGGCCATGCACTGTGCGATACTCTTCTGGCGTCACTCTCCAGCCCCACATCTTTTTTTCTTTTCTTTTTTCCTGAGCTCTGGGTATTTATAGACTGTTAATTTTCTGACTGAGCCAATAGTAGTTGGGAATCTCTTGAAAAAAATCAGGAGAGACATTGCTGTGGGCTGGGGGAGATGCCCCCAGCCCTGATTCTCTGCCCAGCCCTAGTGATCTGGGCCTGCGGACTGTGTCTGGGGGTGGCCCTCCTGCAACCTGGAAGGGCGGGGAGGGGGTGCTGAGCTGTGAATCTCATAGTTAGGAGCTACACTGTAGCATTAACCCCCTGGGAGGTTGCTGCTGGTCTAATTTGGGACCTCCCCACTCATGCCCATGCCCCAGGCGTCCTTGGCCCCCAGAGCAGAGGGCACAGGACTCCCCCTTAACTGGGGCCATTTCAATGTGGGTGGAGTTTATTTTTCATTCACTTTTTTTTTTTTACTGATAAACGGAGATGAGATGTCTGGGCCTTCCCCCACACACACACCTGTCTGTCCTGCAGGATCCCCCACCCCTGCCTGTCTCCCCCTTTTGTCCCACTCGTAGGTGAACCCCCAGGTCCTCACTCCTTCCCCATTATGTGTTCCAAGTTAATGGTTTCAGATGTGAACATCATGTGTTAACTGTAGCTCTGTACATTTTTTTTGTGGGGGGTGGGCGGGGAGGAGGGGTCGGAAAGTTAGGGGTCAGAGATTTGTTTTGTTTTTCTAAAAGGAGAGAAGAGGGGCAGATTTGTTTTTTGAAAAACTGTCTTGGATACCTATTTAAATGTGTGTTCTCTTTTATTAACATTTTTTGAAGTGATGTCTGTGCCGCCCCGGCAGGAACCGGCCCCCCTCCACCGAGCCCAGCCCCTAAAGAAAGCATTACCGGTCCTGGGGTTTGGGGGGCTGTGGGGTGTGCCTGCACTTTTTTCATGAGTTTCCTGTATGAAGAAAAAAAAAGCCTACACAAACACCAACGTGGTGATTTCAAGTAATAAAATGACAAAAGTGAAAGTCCCCCCTCCCCCTTGGGGAGGGGAGTCTGTTCCAGAGCTGACACTGGTCCTCTTACAAGCCTGGGAGGGGTGCCTGTATGAGGTGGCCTGCTGGATCCCATGACCTCCCAGGCCCCTTTCCCGGTTAGGGTGAGGGTGGGCAGGAAGCTGCCCCTGCAAGGGAGGGGTAGGCAGGCCACCCCCAGTGCCCAGGTCCAGGGTATGGGCAGGGGGTTCCAGGCCTTGCCCTCTCAATTCCCTACCCTGCTTGGCACCAGACAATCTTCCTCCCAGGATACCACCGGACTCCCTGCCCCCTTCCAGAGGATCCAGTCCTCGTAAGGAACCAATTCCCAGGGCCTGGGGCTGTTGTGCAAGGCGACAGACCCAGTGTGAACTCTCCCTGGCCTTGCATTCCAGCATTCCCCAACCCCTGGCCATCCAGCCTCCGGGCTCAACCCTCAGCCTGGGAAATTTCACTGTTTCCCACCTCTGGGATCTATTTGGGGCTGGACAGACACAGGAGAATCATTTATTTTAAATGGATTTCTTCATTTCACAAGTACTGCCACCTAAGATAATATTTACATTCCCATTTTACAGAGGAGAAAACTAGTCCAGAGGGTGTTTCTGAAATTGGTGACTACCACCCCTGGCCAATTTTTTAAATTGGAGATTGCTTTGTTCCAGTTATTTATGCAGTCATTGATTGATTCTTTTAATCTCTATATTGATGTTAGAGAAAGGAAGAAACATCAGTTTGTAGTTCAAATTATTTTATGCATTCATTCATTCTTGTTTGTGCCTTAACCAGGAATCTAAACCTTGGCATATGAAAGGATGCTCTAACAGGTATCTGGCCAGGCCTCCCTGGCTGATTTCTGATGGCCCAAGGCCCAGCTCCAGGGACCCCAGAAGCAAGGGAAAGGTTCCCTCCCAGGAATATCCTGGGGGCATCTCGTGGAGACACTTAGGCCCCTCCCACCGTCCATTCACCCCCAGATCATTGTCTGCTCACGGCAAAAAAAGGTATCGGGATGCCCAGGTCAGTGTCAACGGAGCAAATGTCCCCGCAGGTGGTAGAAGCGTGGGTGGGGCAGTTCAGGTGGAACATCCTCCTACGCAAACCGGCTGGAGGGGGCGGGGAGGGGAAGGGCCCGGGTGACCACCGCAGAGCTGGGTGCGGGAAGCAGAGGGAGGGTGTCCACTGAGGAACACGCTGAATCACGGGGCTGGGTGTGCACAATGCAGGGCGGGGAACACTGGCCCTGATGCCCCGGAACTTACCCCTCAGGGCGCAGCCCCGGGGTCAAGAGTCACGGCCCTGCCCAGGGGTCCTAAGCGGACTCCACCCCGCCAGGGGCTGACACCTACAGGAAGTGCGGGCGGAGGTGCCCATCCGGAAGGGCGGCAGGTCAGACCATGCAGGAGGGAGGAGGAGGAGGCCAGGAAAGGTAAACTGAGGCCAAGGGAGTGCAGGGACTACTGGGGCCGCGAGTGTTGGGGGTTGGTCCTGAACCGCCTCCTCCCCCATTGACGAAAAAGATGAATGGGAAGAGGCGGCCCCGGAAACCACAGGGCTGGAAACGTGGTTTCCCGGGCAACGCGCCTTGGAGCGGCTCTTACGTCACCGCACAGCGGGCGCCCCGCCCGCCCCCCGCGCGTCGGCGGCCCGGGCCCCGCCCGACGCCGGTGACGCCTCCTTGGGGGGCGCCCCTCGGCCTCTGCACACACCGCCGGGGGGCGGGCTGCCTTCCCTGGCAGGACAGTCCCGGCCGGGCTGAGTGCGCCAGTGTGGCGGCGAGGAGGCGGTAGACCCCCTTTGGCCGCAGTTTTGACGCCGGCGGAAGCGGAGGCGGGTCCGGGGGCGCCCCCGTGCCCCGCACCCCCGCACCGGCGCGCTCACGTGGGCCCTTTCTTCTATGCCCAGGTAATGCCTGCTGGCCCCTCCCCAGCGTCCACGTGTGCGTGACCCCCGGCTGAAAGAGTACTGTAGTCCCAAGCTGGGGAAGCCCTGGAGACCCGATGGGAAAAGGACACTTGAAATGAGGCTTTGCCCATGGAATAGGAGTTTGCCAAATAGAGGAAGAGGCAACGGATGCCCCAGGGGTGGCTGTTGCAAAGACCAGGAGACATAAAAGCGGGAATCAGGTGAAGGGAGCAGAAGCCAGAACATCCAGGTGGACGGTGGCTGGACGCTGGGGCCTGGGCTTAGGGGAGAGGCCTGCGAAGGGACAGATGGGGCTGGAGATGATCGGCAAAAGGGCTGCAGGGCGCTAGGAGCCTGGAGGAAGGCACCCCTGTGAGCTCTGGGCACCTGGCCAGCCTCCAGGCAGAGATTGTTGAGGACCCGAGAGGGAGAGGTTAGGGTGGCAGGAAGTTCACATCGCTGCCTGGGTGTGGCTCAGATTAGTCTGTGACCAGAAGTCACTCAGAGAAGTCAACAGTCAGTTTGTGAACGAGGGAGGCTTTGCCAGCTGGGGAGAATGTGAGCCAAACCATTGGTCCCAGGCGAAGATCTTAAGGCTGACCTGAGGGTCAAGGATGGTGGTGTTGACTGGCTGGTGTGGACACCAAGGCCTGGAGCCTGAATCCAGGTGGTGGCTCACAAGTTGGCCATGCTCCTGGGGTGATGAGGCCACTGTGGGTGGTCAGGAAAGAGTCATGGCTTTCTACTTGAGGCCAGAGTCCTCTGGGGGTGGCCCAATGGGTCACGGTGGCTAGCTGCACGGTGATGCTGACATGCCAAAGGCCACAGTCAGTCCTGGGTCGCTTGGGGAGGACATTGGGGAGCCAGGCCCCCAGCCAGGAGTTTTCTGGTGAGATGGGAGTGAATGGTATGCCACCAGAGACAGCTGCACCCCCCGGCACTGGGCAAGTGCCAGGGGCACAGCCACCCCCAGCAGACCTAGTGGAATCCGCCCTTCTCTCCAGGCTCATTGGGAATGGGAGTTACCAAGCCAAGGTGCTGGGGCCCAACCCAGGAGTCTTGACTCCAGTCCCACCCACGGCTGCCCAACCCTGGGAAGGCTGAGGACCAGTGGCCTCTGGTGTAATTCTAACCAGGTGAGCAGCCCGCCTGTGGGTGGGGGCAGGGCCATTGTCACCTGGGGCCCTGCTTCCCAACTGCCCTACCCTGATCCTGTGTCCTTGGCCAACTGCCTCCTGCCTGCCCCTAGTCTCTATCCTCTGCCTTCCTCTCCTCCCTCTAGCCAGTTCTCTTCCTCGGTCTTCATCCCCTCTTTCTTTCTTTTTGCCCTGCTCAGTCTCTCAGCCTGTCTTTATTCCTGTGTGGGTCTCCTTCTATTTTCATGTGGTCTCTGTCCCACCAGCCCCTTCACTACTTCTGCTCCATCTCTGGAAGCCCCCTCCCTTGTGCTTGGCACATTCTGGCCTCCACCCCCACTGCAGTGCCCATCCCTGGAGCAGCTACTGCTGCCTTAGGTGCCCAGGACCAAGGGAGTGGGTTTGGACCAAGGTTATAGGTCTGGGAGCAAACGGGTGGGGAGGGTATCCCCTAGCCTCTGGAATGTGGGCAGGGCCGGCCCCAGGAAGTGGCAGGGGAAGGCAGCCCCCACAGGCTGGCCCCAACTGCCTTCACACACACACACACACACACACACACTCCCCAGAGGCTCCCACAGGCCTCCTGGAGAAGCAACAACACCTCAGACTCCCACACAGGGCCCCACAGCCCCAGAGACGCCAACCCACCTCCTTGCTGGACACTCACACGTAGCACCCTTCTTCACAGTTCACCAGCACTCTGCTCTGCAACCCAGCAACCCTAACACACAACACCACCCACACACAACACCAGCTCCAACTCGCATTTTGGTCCCACCGCAACCTCAGTCAACTGAGTGATCCTCAAATCAAACTGCACCCCAACTCTTAGCCTGGATGAGACCTCCCTTAAGAAAACTACAAAATGGGGAGTTACACTGGCAGTTGGCACTCAGGTCCTGGAAGAGTTGCTCACCCAAAGGCAGTGTCCTCCCCAGACACACCCAGCACTCAGCTACAGACTCACCCACACAGGCCCCACTGGAGGCTAGCCAGGTGATTCTGGTGGGGACAGGTGCCGGGGGGTGTGGGCACATGTGTGGGCTGGTTGCTGCACAGCTCTTCTCTTCGCTGCAGCTGTCTCTCTACCTTCGTGCCACTCCAGTGCTGCCATGGAGATGCCATAAGCCCCCTGTGCCTGCATGGAGCCTGTGTGTGTGTTGTGTGTAATGACATCTTGTGTGTGGGGCCAAGGTAAGATGAACAGGGCATCCCTCGGGATTAGCTCCTTCTGACACGTGTCCTATGCCTGAATGCATGTTTTTGGTGTGTGCTTGCTCACCACTGCATTTACCATCCTACTTGTGACTCAGTTTCCCTCAGCAGAAGGGACCACTATTCAGGTCTCTGGAGAAACATGAAATGGGGAAAGAGCAAATGTGTGTGTAACAGAAGAGTCAGGCTTGTGGCTCCCACATGCCTTCTGCCCAGGTGCAGGTGGGGGCCAAATATTCAAGATCTGAGTCTCCTTGGGTCCCTCAGGGTCCCACTCTGCAGCCCATCTCATGGTGCATGCAGTTTGTGGGGACTGGGGTCACTGCCTGGCATTTACACCCTGGGATGCGGGCCTGCGCAGGTGCAGAAGAATCAGCCTCCGCAATCCTGGGTGGTGAGTCAGGCAGCTCTCCCAGGTGTCCGTCCCCCTGCCCGGTGTGCATCCTCCTCCACGTGAAAAACAGGAGAGAAACTGAGCCGGAGACAGCTAAATCTCGTGTTCACAGTTGGCAGCCACCTGGGCCCTGCTAGGATCAGAAGCCCCCACCTCCTCCTGCAGGTCTGAACTGGGTGGAGGGCAGTTTAACTTCCTCCTCTTTGCTCTGGCCTCCTGTGTCTGCTCTGCCCAGAAAGACCCTGGCTACCGCTGATGCATAGCTGGTGTGCCCATAGCAGGGGCATAACTCATGCTACCCACCTATGGACACAGATGCTTTGTGAGTCCCAGCCCGTCAGAGTCACGTATACCCTGCCCTGTCTCTGGCGTTCTCACATCCACATCCGTATTGCTCACAGCCTCTCTCCCCCGTGATCTTTCACATGGGGTGCCATGCAAGCATGTCGTCATATGCGATCACACACACCTCCACGTGTTTGCACACATGAGTTCTGTGCACACACAGCCATCCCTTGTGCACACACACATATAGCCCCATTTTTGTGTCTACACAAGTGTTCCCACGAATCCTTGTTTCTCTGTTTGTACCCACGAGTCCACTGCCCACAGGCACACATGTGCACCACACCTGGCAACTCCCGAACTCACTCAGTCTCGGCTTCCCCCACCCTGGCTCTGGACCCCACGGATTGGGGCCAGGACCATCCCGCTTGCTTCTGCGTCCCCGCCTGGCGGCTAGGGGAGGGGGCGGTTATGACGCGGTACCCGGGTCTTCCACATACAAGCGTCTTTCATCCCAGCCACTCCGGTCCTGGCCCCAGACCCTCTTTACAGCCTCCGCCTGCTCATTAGCTTGGGTCGGGGTAGGACCAGGCAATCCCGCGGGCGGGGCACGGCCGAGAGGACGGAGGAGGCGGTGCGAGAGCCGGGCGGCCCCGCCCCGTCTCCCTGGCGACGCCGGGGAGGCGAGGGGGGGAGAACCCAGCCAGGGGACCAAAGCCGGGTGATTCAGGAGGCTGGCGCCCCCTCCGCGGTGGCCCCCTTGTGCGGGGCTATTTGTGAATGAGCCGGCCGGGTCCTCCCGGCCTAATCCCCCATCCCCGCCAGGCGGGCGGCGAGCACCGCGCGTTCCCAGCCGCAAATAGCAGCCTCGCCCCCGCCCGCGGCTATTTTGAGCCTCCTCCTCCCCGGCCACACACCCGCCCTGGCTCGGGCTGAGGCGTGGGGCGAGACGGGGACCCTCTCCCACGCTGAAACGCGAGGTGGGCAGCCGGACTGGGTGGCGGGACCCGGGTCAAGGTGACAGCTAGGCCGCAGCGCCCCCTAGTGTCCTCGGGGTGGGCGTGACGCAGCGGCTGCAGCAGAGATGAGGTGGTCCCAGTCCCCTGAGAGCACCCCACGGGAGACACACTGTGCTGGTTACACACCGAGTCACAGGAACAAGCAGATCCAGGTGACCACAGGAACAGGTACGGAGACAGGTTACAGACCTGCAACGCAAGCACACAATTCCCACACAGCGCCCGGTGCACCTAGTGACTGGTATCTGCAGGCATGGATGGGTCCATACCATGATGGGAAACCAGGACAAGTCGTGGGTACTAGTGCAGCCCGTACCTAGCATCGGGATCGTAGCAAACGCTTAATAATCGTGTGCTGGTAGAATGAATGAATGAACAGGACCCTTCAAGGAACCAGGGCAACTCTGAACCACAGAAAGCGGGGCCAAGGCAGGACAGGGAGGAGCAGAGGGTGATGAAGGCACAGTGGTCCTGGGAACCCTTGGTCTGAGCTGGGACCTGACTTTTCTCAGGGAAGCAGGTCAGAAAGGGGGAGCAGGAATTGCTCCTGGGCTAGGGAACCCTGGCCTCAGACTCCCCATAGGCGGCCAGCAGGAAAGGGAGCGGAGTGCTGTTATCCTTCTTTGCTTCTTTTAATAACCACCCTGTGTAAACGGCTGACACAGCAGCAGGCTGCTGCTGACGGGGAGTAATATAGAGGGGCTGTGGCGTTGGGGAGCAAGCTACAGAGGGGACCACGATGAGTCATGAATTGATACAGTACCTGGGAGAGGGGTTCCCAAGACTGTATCACAGGAGACAGCGTCTGTGCCCAGGCAGGTCCCTGCTGCATCAGCTAGACACCCCCTGAGAGGGCTAGAGTGGGACGGGAACTTTTCTGGGGTGTCTTCTCTGAAGACTTGCTAGGGCTGGGATGTCGCTAGGATCTTTGGTCTGGCAGACAAGGTTCTGCACTAACTTTCTCTGGCCGCAGGGGCTTTCCAGGGTGTAAGGTTCTCTGTAAAGATGGTTCTCCTGATAGCAGAGACCTTAGGACACCTTTAAAAGGACAGCAGAAACCGGTTTGGCTCAGTGGATAGAGGTCGGCCTGGGGACTGAAAGGTCCCAAGTTCAATTCCGGTCAAGGGGTGTGCAAGAGGCAGTCGATGTTTCTCTCTCATAGAGAGTTAGAAACATACTCTATCCCTCTCTCTTCCTCTCTGTAAAAAATCAATTAAAAAAAAAAAAAAGACTGGAAACACGACACAGGAGAAGGAGCAGAGTGGTACTGGCTTGCGCCTTCCTCTCCCCATGGGTATTGAGTGAGTTCTGGGTTTGCTGGGGCAGATATGCTGGAGATATGGTGGAGGGGAAGCCAGGGCTGAGCTGAATGTAAGGCTACAGTGAAGACTCAAGGACAGCCAGTTGTGGGCTTGAGAGGCAAGGTGAGGGTCAATCTGTGGTCTAGAGCTGGGATGCACAAAAGTATTTGGCCAGGTGAGTACTGGGGTGTGAGTGAGGTGAAGTCAGGATTGGATGGGAGTTAGGTGTGGGTAGGGGTCGGGATTTGTAGACATACTTGGTTGGGTAAAGTTGGGGCGCCCCAAAGTTGGGAAATAGGAAGAATTGGAATGGTAGTGAATATGGGGGCCCACATAAATGAGCTTGTCTCAGTAATGGGGTTTTGGTGGGGTCTGTGGCATATCACGTATTCCGCTTTGAACCCTGGAACCGCGTGGATGTTGGTTATATGGACTATTGTCGGGGTTCAGATGAAGTTGGGTGACAGAACTGGGGCTTGGTGTCTATGGGAACGTGGGTGAGGTCGATATGTCTGCGATTCATGGCAACCATCAGAGTTCTCAGGGGCGCCAGCCTCCGGCAACTGCGGCTGGAGGGCCCTTTGTTCCAGACCCGGAGTGGCTCGCGCAAGTGGGTCGACCCCGCCCCGCCGCGCGCCGGCCCCGCCCTCCGCTCGCAGGTGGCGGGGGACGCGGATCCACGCGTCTCCGCCAATCACGTCGCCCGTCGATAGCGCGCGGAAGAGGGCGTGGCCTATGCGAGCCCGGCCCACAGCTCATGAATATGAGGCATGGCCGCTGCCCATGGGGTCTGGGATTGGTCAACGCGGAGCAGGGGGTGGCACTTGGGGGCGGAGCCAGGAGGCGGCGTACATAAGGCCGGGCGCTCGGTTACCCCCCCACACTCGCACGTTAGGAGGCTCTGGTCGTTTCGCACCGTCGTCTTCCTGCCTGCGTCAGGGACCTGCCCTACTCAGTGGTGAGGGTCCTGGCGGCACCGGCTCCGAGGGCCCCGGGCGGCGGGCGGCCTGAGGCCGGCCGGATGAGGCAGGGCGGCGGCGGCACGCCCCTGGGCAGGGGTGGTGCCTGGGCGGGCCCAGGGTGGAGTCCGCCCCGCCGGCGGCGAGGGGCAGCCGTAGACGGGCCGAGCCGCAGCTTGAGGGCGTCCCCTTAGAGGCCTAGGCTCGCCCAAAGCGGGCCGCCACCGCAAAATGGCGGCTGCGAGCGCGAGGCTGTGCCCCGCGAAATGGCGGGAGCGCCGAGTGCCCGGATGGAGTGGCGCAGGGCGCGCTCAGGGCGCATGCGTGCGGCGGGGGCGGGCCTGGGGGCGGGCCAGGCTCCCGCTTCCCCGGTTTCCCATTGGATTTGCACGAAGGGGAGTACAGCCTTCATCCCGGTGTCCCACTCTCCTTCCGGCACCCCAAGTTGGTCTTCAAACTGTGTGGTTCTAGAGACGTGGCAGAGGTTTTCCCAGTCTGGGAAGGGTCGGTCCACGTCAACACCCGCCCACTTGCCCACTTCATGTTGGAGCCCCCCGCGTGGGACTCTGCCCCAGCTCCTGCAGAGGTCCAGTCCCCGGCCACCCCACAGGCGCCCTGTGGTGGACCAAAAGCACTCTGCCACCCCGCACCCCGACGGTCTTGTTAGGAGTCAGGCGTCGGCCTTTAGTGCCCAGCCCTCATTACCTCCTGAGGGAATCATCTGGGGTCCACAGTGCTTCACTGATACACAAAACCCGGCTGCTCTCAGGGAGACCGGAGTGGGGGCGGGGCCCCGAGTGATGAAGGAATTAACAGCTTTTTAAAATTAACTTCTGGGTGTGGGCTTGGGGTGATAAATGGCAAAAGAGAATTTTTCAGTGTATCCCCAACGAGCATATGTCGTTTGTATAAAGTAAAATAGGAGGGAGGGGTGAGCGATGAAGCCCCTGGAGGATCTCAGTGAGGATTTCAACGATTTGCCACAGGCCACCATGTCATCAGATGAAGGCAAGCTTTTCGTTGGAGGGTTGAGTTTTGACACCAATGAGCAGTCGCTGGAGCAGGTCTTCTCAAAATATGGACAGATTTCAGAAGGTGAGGCGGTGCTGGACCGGCGGCTGACCAGGGCTGCTTTGGGGGCAGTAAAGTGCTGACTGCAGATTTCTCCCTCCGCAGTGGTGGTGGTGAAAGACAGGGAGACCCAGCGGTCACGGGGCTTTGGGTTTGTCACCTTTGAGAACATCGACGATGCCAAAGATGCGATGATGGCCATGAATGGGAAGGTGAGGGGCAGCTGTCTGGGGATGAAAGGGTTCAGGCTTGTGGGTCACGAGGCTCAGAGGCTGACCTGAGCCAACCTCTTGGTCTTCACAGTCTGTGGATGGGCGACAGATTCGGGTTGACCAGGCTGGCAAATCATCTGATAACCGATCTCGTGGGTACCGAGGTGGCTCTGCTGGGGGCCGGGGCTTCTTCCGTGGGGGCCGAGGCCGCGGCCGTGGGTTCTCCAGAGGTGAGTGCCCCTCTTGGGGCCTGAGGCCCTTGCGGACACGATGGGAACACTGCTGGAAGGAGCTGGCACTCACTGTCTGTCCTGTCCCTGTCTGTAGGAGGAGGGGACCGAGGCTATGGGGGGAGCCGGTTCGAGTCCAGGAGTGGGGGCTATGGGGGCTCCAGAGACTACTACAGCAGGTGAGGTCTTAGCCCTGCCTGGGCGTGTGGCAGGCTTGTGTTGGGACGCTGGCACAGGGTTGGGGTGAGTACACTAAACTGCCCTCCAGCACCCACATGTGTCCTTCCTACAGCCGGAGTCAGGGTGGTGGCTATGGCGATCGGAGCTCTGGAGGGTCCTATAGAGACAGCTACGACAGTTACGGTAAGTCACGCTCTGAGAGCCTGCGGTGGGAGCTCGGCAAGCCTGGGTGCCCTCTATGTGCGACACTCAGACCTTGTCACTGCTTGCCCATAAGGGATGAGATTGCCCTCTCAGGTCTCCGTGCCAGCAGCCATTTCTACAACAAAACATAAAAGCTAGACCAGACTGACCAAGAAGGAAAGGGAGACGAGGGGCCTGCCAAGCAGGCAGCATAGCTGCATGTGCGGCCGCCCGGCCCCGCCGCCCTTGGCTGTGGGGGGGTTGGTTGCTCCCGAGGCTGCAGGGCCGAGCCCTCCAGATCTGGACCCGGGAGTGGAATGCTGCCTCTTGTTGCGTGCTTCAGTGCTTTTACACTGTACCTGCTTCTTGTTCTCAGCTACACACAACGAGTAAAAATCCTTCCTGCTCAAGATCGTCCTTCCAATGGCTGTATATTTAAAGATTTTGGGAGCTTCGCTGAATCGTTAATGTGTAGTGAACACACCTCCTTGTACCCACTTTTGTAGTCTAATCAGTTCTGATCTTGTCAAACACAGCCTGACTGCTTCTGACCCCCGAGATGGCTTCAATACTAGACTTTACTTTTTAAGGAAACACTCCGTTTTTAAGGGTTTTAAAAACGTTTTTGAAAAGCACTTCAGATTTTACGTTTTTCTTCTTACCATGAGCCATGAGTTTTAGAAAATTATCGGGGGTTGTGTGGGTTTTTTGTTTTTGGTTGTGTTGTCTTTTTTACTTACCTTTTTAGTGGGGTTGGCCTGGTGAAGTTGGGTCCTCCAATTCAAATCTCTTGGAGATTGGATGGACTCTGAGTCTGCTCTCTGTTGGAAGCTGAGGGAGCCGTGGCTTTTTTCCAACTTCATGTACCGTTTCTGAGTGTAGCATGGTAGGGCCTGTCCCAGATCCCAGGTGGCAGCAGAGGCTTGCCACTTGGGCCCGGCCTGTACGGCCCATCTGCTGTGTATAACTTACAGTAGACTTGGAGATGTCACCAAGAGGTTCTTGAAAATGTTTATTTATATTGTCCTTTTTTACTGGAAGACATATGCATATCCCATTGATGTTGTATTTGAAGTGGTTAAGGAATTCTTGTACACAGTTTTTTTGGCTTTACGAAGCAGATTAAAAAACCGTCTGAAATGAACCTCGCTCTGACAATTTCCCTTTCATTGCTGAACACACTCCTGCTGCGAGCTCTTGGCACTCAGAACTCAGCAGAGAGGGCAATTTGAGAAGCAGGCCTGCGAGTCCTGCCTGAGGCCCATGGAGAGCTAGACCAGGAAGGCAGAGTAAACTGACGCTGGCGGGCCCCTGGTGACAGCCGACTGCCACCAGTCCTGGTTAGTGAGCAGGTGGCTGACGGGAATGGGTAGGTTGGACCTCAAGGCAGCCCTTGGGAGGCTTCTGGCAGTGGCAGCCAGAGGGCTCAGTGGGGCGGGCAGTGCAGCAGTGACGGACCCACGTGGGCACCTGACGTTGACCCGACTGCCTTAGCCTAGAAGCAGGCCAGCGAGCAGACGGCAGGCAGTGTCCCTGGGCGACTGCAGACTGACTGCTCATTAGCTAGCTCTGCTGTTGCTTCACAAGTTCTGAGAGTTCTCCGCTAGCCTATGGAAGCTGCAGCCCCTCGGAGGACAGAAGTGTTGTGCGCCCAACAGAAACCTCTGAGACGCAAGCTGCTCCCTTGGCTAGCTCATATGTGGAAATAGCCCTGTAATTCGAGGTAACTCCTTTTGCTCGTGTCCACATCCCTCCTCTTGTCAAGAGCTCATTTGAAAGTAAAATTCCATGCCTGGGGAATGTTTTTATGACTTTTTGTTTGTTTGTTTTCCCATTATCTTTATTTTTTTTATAAAATCAAGCTAGAATTAAAGCCGACCCCGGCTGTTTAGCCCTTTCCTGCCTGCAGCCAGGCGAGCAGCCCAGGAAGTTTCACCTCACGAGTAGGTTCAATCTGTAAGCAGGATTAGAGAGCACTGAGCATCCTGCCTTCGGATTTTTTGTTCATCAATTGACAGTCTTTTCCAGACCTCCCTAACTCCTATTCCTAACTAAGGCTCTCTGATGTCCATTGCCTCCATCAGTTTTTTTCCTAGAGCCACACCATTCTCTAAGCAGCTCCATCCCAAGCGGGAGGCTGGCTCTGCTTAGGGATGGAGCACTGCCTGGCTGACGCTCAGGCTTGCCCTGAGCACACCAGCCCGTGACACGGCCTCTGCCAGGATGGCCTGATGACTAGCTTGAGACCCTCCTAGGAGCTGTGGATGGTTTAGGGGAGGGGGAAGCAGCTATGAAGCTATGAGCATGTCCAAAACCCTGCGGGTAACACTCCTTTGCTTTGGCAGGTTGAAGGGAAGCCAGTGCAACTTGGAAGGGTGGCCCAAGAACAGTGATGACCTGGGGTCCTGTCCCATGAGGGTCTTCACCTGGGAGAGGAACCAGATGCCCAGCCCCCTGCTCCTTCAGCTTGTCATCTGTAAGTGCTTTTCTGGGGGTTGACACATGGTCCTTTGGCCTTGACAATGCCTGGTCCTGTGGGTTCTCTCTGGTTTCCTGTCCCACCTACAGCATGGGTGGGGGCAGCTTTCTGTGTGTGCCTCCTGCCGGAGCCAGCTGGAGTTCTTCCTTCACTCCTTCTCCATCTTTCCAGCAGGTGTTTTATTGGCAAGGTTGGAAATGCAGGGTTTCAAGTCACTCAGGAAGACCGGTGTGTGGCAGTCTGCACGGAGCCAGTCCTCACCTGCAACAGTGTGACAGAATGTGGAAGTCGGATTTGAATAAAGGACTGGTGTGTCTACCTAGAAATCTGAGTCTGGTTTGGGGTGCGACCAAGGAGGGTGGGTTCCTGAGCCTCAGGTGGAGGCTGGGTGGGAATTGGGCTCCCGTGGAGAAAGCCTCTTGTGGCCGTGGTTCAGGGCACTAGCTGTACTCAAACCAAACAGACCAGCCAGTCACTTAATTGTCTTCTTGGTTGGTCTGGAGGCACACTTAGCCTAAGAGGAGGAGGTGTGGTCCCTGTGCTCCCTCACCTGGGATGTGCACCTCTTTCTCTCAGGGCCCTGGCAAAGCGTTTTTGTTCGTTCTTTATTGATGTGTGTGTGTGGGGGGGGGTTTGACACATTAATTTGTTGTTCCACTTATTTATGCATTCATTGTGTGTGCCCGACCCGGGATTGAACCCAGAACCTTTGGCCTTTAGGGACTGCTCTAACCCAGTGGTCAGCAAACTGCAGCTCACAGGCCGCGGTTTGCCGCTCTTGACTAATGAGTTTGCCCACCACTGTCATTTATTACCCTTTGCACACAATATGCCACAATTGCCTAATCCTCACAGCTTCCAACTACACGGTAACATTTAGTCTAGCAATGGTTGGCAAAACTCAGTCAACAGGGCAGCAAACCGCGGCTTGCAAGCCTCAGTTTGCTGACCACTGCTCTAACCAACTGAGCTGTCTAGCCAGAATGAACTAAGTATCTTGATCTGTGCTTGCCCATTGAGCCAAGCTTGCTTCCTGAGCTGGTGACTTCCTACTCTGGTTTGGGGGTGCAGAGGTGGGGTTGGACCCTGATTCTGAGGCCTTGGGTCTGTGCTCAACTCATAAAGGTGGGTGTTGGTGGTGGTGGTGGCAGCATTGGGTGTCAATTCAATGTGGTCAGGATGGCTGAGGTGCCCTTCACTACAGTTGGAAGATAGAATGCCAGACTAGAGCGAGCAGGCGGTCCTACCTTTCAAGAGGGCCTATTCTGAAGTTCTAGAGCCGGTGTGGGGTCTGGGGACCAGAACAGCAAGAGCTCGAGGGGTCCCAGGCTCCCTTCTTGGCCCATACGCAGAAGTTGGCATGGCCTCGCCCTAGTCTGACTCCGTCATACAATTGGGAACCTTGTGAGGGTGTTGGCTCCCTTGTGTCCTGTAGTCCATTCTGGTCACCCAGCTTTTCTGACTTGTCCCCTGAACTGGGCATTCCAGTTGGTTATAGCAATGGTCGGCAAACTGTGGCTCTCAAGCCACTTGCAGCCCTTTGGCCCCTTGAGTGTGGCCCTTCCACAAAATACCACAAGCCGGCACGCGCGTCGATTGGAACTTTGTGGCCCATGCGCAGAAGTCGGGTTTTGGCTCTTAAAATAAATTTCAGCCGAAACCGGTTTGGCTCAGTGGATATAGCCTCGGCCTGCGGACTGAAAGGTTGCAGGTTCGATTCCCGTCAAGGGCATGTGCCTTGGTTGTGGGCGCATCCCCGGTGGGAGGTGTGCGGGAGGCAGCTGGCTGATGTTTCTAACTGTCCCTCTCTGTGGAAAATCAATAAAATATATTTTTTAAAAATTCAATTGTACTGTTGATATTTGGCTCTGTTGTCTAATAAGTTTGCCTACCACTGGGTTACAGCCATTGTGCTCTGGGCCAGAAGGAACTGAGTCACAGGCATAGGGGCAAGCCTAGCCCTAGAGCCCTAGGACAGGGTGTGCAGAGCACTGGGACGGCTAGAGGTGAAGCGGGGTTAGCGCCCAAGGGGCGGGGCGTGCCCCCCCCCCGCCACACCCCAGCGCCGAGCTCCGCCCCTGCAGGCCATTGGTTGGCACCGCCCCTTGCCGGGTGAGTGACGGAGGACTTGGGGCGGGGTGCAGCCACGGCTTCCGCAGGGCCATGGGGCTGTGCGCGGTGCCACGGTTGCTCCTGCCGACGTTGTTGCTGTCAGTGCTGCTCTTTGGAACCCGGGAGGCCGCTTCCTCGTCGCCACGCCTCGCACAGACTACGCTCTCCCCATCACAGGCTTTGACGAATGGGAGCCAGCCAGGCGCGCCTCACAACAGCACGCACCGCTGGCCGCCCGGCTCGCCAGGCTCGACAAGATCGCAGATTCTGCGTTCCTTCTACGTGCTTTTGGGCTTCCTCGGCCTAGCAGTGCTCTACTTCCTCATCCGGGCCTTCAGGTATGTCAGGCGCGTGCCGGCCTCCCTGGCGTGCCAAATGAGCTCACGGCTTGAGCCTCACGTGCTCAAGGGCGTGCGCCCAGCCCCTAAGGAGTGGGCGTGAACTGCGAGCGTTATCCGGGATCTCGGGTGATTGGCAGTCATGTGATACCTTGGTGCTTCCTGATGCCGGAGCACAGATGCTGGTTTCTCGGAACACAGCTACCCAGGCTGGTCTGTGCGTGTGGGGGAGGGCATGCCCGGTTTATGTTTCTGCTTTGTAGCCCGTGCCAGGCGAAGCCCACCAGCCCAAACTGGGTCTGTGATCCCCCATGTCCCTCACCCTAGAAATAGATAAGGAAGGACCACGCCTTCCTTCTCCAACTCTTTCAGCACCGGGGCTGGCTGCCATCAGTTTTTTTGGTTCCACTGATGTTCTCCCAACCCCTTCCTTCCCCCCATGTGGTTCACATGCCAGGGAAGTTTTGGTTCAGTTCCCTGGCTTCCCTCCAGAGGGCTTTTGTCACACAGCTGACCATGTATGTTCAGACGCTTTAAAGGGGGCCCTTTTTGTCCCCAACTGACACTCCTGTGGGTGCACAGTGCTTGTGTCCCCTCTAAGTATCTGATCTTGCATCTGTTCAGAGGCTTCCTTCCTTTCCCTGGTGTCCTGGTGGTTGGTGGTCAGGACCGGGACTTTGGCATGAGACAGAGTGTCTGTGGTACCCTCACCCCTCTCTGAGGCTCGGTTTTCTCATCAGTAGTAGAGCAGGATAACAGCACAGCCTGGGAGGGAGCCTGCCAAGGGAGGTATCCACTTGCCATTATTGACATAAGAGCAACTAATGGAATCACTGTGACTTTATGAGGCCATAGAAACACAATTAGACCAGGAAGCTTCACAGCAAAGCTTTGAGAGGCAGGAAAGGAGGCGGAGAGCCAGAGATAACAAAGGAAAATGGGGAAGGCAGGAAGCAGGATGGGGTGTCAGCTGCCCCTGGAAGTGATCCGAGACAACCACTGATCGTGCTTGGGACTGCTTGCAGGTTGAAGAAACCCCAGCGGAGGAGCTACGGCCTCCTGGCTAACACTGAGGACCCCACTGACATGGCCTCGCTGGACAGTGACGACGAGACCGTCTTTGAGACCAGGAACCTGAGATGGTATTGAAGTTCTCCCCCCCACCTCCAGAAGCTCTGGGTGGGTGGGTAGAGCAGGGCTGAAGAGTTGGCAAGA